GCAGCCCTTCTCCTACAGCCCCCTGCCTGGGAGGTTCAGGGGCCAGGGCACAGCCGGTGGGGGGGTGGGGGGTGGGGGGTGGGGGGGTGGGGGTAGAGTCCTGGCCTTTGACTGTCTCTTGGCCTCTGACCTCTGCTCACTGACCTCATCCCTCAGATCTCCTGGCACCTCTATAGAGTGGAGAATGAGGAGGTAGGAAGCAGTCCCTCTGATGACGAGGCTAAAGGTAAACCATGGGTATGACTGGAGCAGGAACTGCTGACCACCCCTTTGCCCCCTGCAATTATTGAGCACTTAGTGTGTGCCAGGCAGTTTCCTAGGGTCCATCTGGGTCACAGCACATTCAATCATTAAACAAACCTGCTGGGTCTGGGTGGCACAGAAGGCCACTTCGGTATTCACTCTCCCCTGCCTTTTCATCCACAGAATCCTGATTTTGTTGGAGATAGATAGAAATGTGCTACTATCCTTTCAATCACTTTCCTTGCAATCAGGGTGGCTCAGTTCTGGCCAGGGAAACAGGCATCAGTCCTGCAGAGATTTCTGTGAAAGTATTGCTTCTGTGAAAGTATTGCTTTCCTCATATAGACACTACCTCTTCCTCCTTCCACCCTGATTCTCTCCCTCTTTCCTGGAACGAAGCCACTATGGCTGGAGCCAATGCAATCACCTTGCAACTGTGAGGGAAAGGACAGAGAACCGTAGACCTTGACTCTGACATCCACAAGCTGCCAAATTCATGCCAGCCACGACCTAGCCCAGATTTCTCATCTCAGAGACAAACACACCTCTGTGTAAATGAAGCCACTATCATTTGAGGTTTCTGTTATACATGAGTGCAGCCAAGTCAAAACATTTCAGGGGTCAGGAAGGAAGGAAGTGGGGCCTAGGAGGTGTGAGAATGCTGTTCTCTTGTGGATGTCTTCCAAAGGGCCTGGAAGGGCGAGGAGATATTCAGTGACCCAGTGGACAAGACAGCCTGTCTGGGCATGTCCACCAGGATATATTCCAGGCCACTAAGTACTGCCCCTGAACAATGTGCCACAGAGGACTGACAGTGCATGTGGGTTCAATGAAAGACCTTCCCTGCACTGGTGGATGTGAGTGATTTTGTGTTAGTGCAGGAGCCCAGGCCTTATTGGAACAGGCTCTTGGGAACCAGCCATCTTGAAAGAAGTGTTAGTACCTGCAGCCACCCTGTGTGAAGGAGCCAAGCAAGCATGTGGAGCAGGCCATGTTCTGAGGCACCAGACATGAGTGGGGCCTTCTGGAACCTTCCAGTCAGGCCCAGCTGGCCTCACCAGCTAAACAAAACCAAGTGAATAATCACAGCTGATACTATGTGGAATAGAACCAACCAGGGGACATCTGCCCACATGCCTGACTCACAGAGTTGAGAGAAAATAAAATGGTTTTTGTCTAAAATCACTCCATTTGCAGGTATTTTGTTAGGAATAAAATGGTAACTAAAATGTCCTTCCCTTAGCTTGGAGGGTTGGACTCACAACATGTTCTCTCCAGAAAAATCCTCTTGACAAAAAATTTCTCCTCAGACTCCAACCACTCAAATTTCTATACTTTAATCACCAGATTTCAGATCAATCCTTGAATTTTTGCATCTGACCTGGCATCTCATTTTGAAACATGTCAATCATATCTTCATGCTTCAGACACATTACACTTCTGTTAGCATGTATTTATATGTCCTTATCTATTATAGGCAAGTTAATTCACATTTTTGTCCCCATGATTTTGCATTGCCTTTTTTTTTTTTTTGGCCAGGGTGCTGGTGGTGGGGGTGACTTTATTTTACGTGGAATTGACAAAGGAATCAACAGACCCTCAGGAGAAATGAGTGTCTCCCAGAGATGGACATGGTGACTGATAAGAATTTGGGTTTCCATTTCAGAGGAGAGGATGGGAGTGTGTACGTTTGCGGGGGTCATGGCTGTAGGGTGTCGCAGAGAGGCGTGTGGTGTTGCCCCAGGATTCCCACTAGACCCAGCCAGGATGTGGGCACATCCAGGTCACAGTTTCCCACACCTTCAGGGTTTCTGTGAACTTCCAACAGCCTTGAACAAATGCCTCTCTGCTTCCACCAGCCAGTATGGACTATCTGCTGCCGTGCCCAGGTTATTTTGTGCTTGTTATTATTATCCCAGTTTTACAATTGAAGAAACCCTGCCCCACAGCCCCTGTGGACACTGGACTCAGGAAGTAGGTCTGTGGTGGTAGGTTGACCGTACCCATGGAGAGGTGCCCTGTGGGGGGGCCACACAGAGTAGGCCAAAGTCCTACTGGCCACTGGATCACTGGATACGGGCCCTTCCAGTGCTGGGGAGGCACCTGCTTCTCCTGTGTGGTGTGGGCCCCACCCCATGCCCAGTGCTCCCCACCTCCTGGGAGGACACCCATGTTAGAGGCCACTGCTGCTGACCAGCTCAAGACTCTACCTTCATAGCCAGGAGTGACCAAGGCCTGACTGCAGCTGGTCCAGGCCTGGCCCTTGGGACTCCTATCCCCCATCCTGCCTGTAACTTTCTGAGGTGCCTCCTTGCCCGAGTCTGGGGGATACTGCTTTTTACTGGGCCTGGGCCCTGGCTTCTCCTCCGGTTGCCCCAGATTCCTCTCTCTGGCCAGCCTCTGCTGAATGGAAAAATCCTGACAACAAGGGTGTAGTGTCTCTGACACCCGCCTTCCTTCCATGCACACTGCTGCCCAGGACACCGTGCCCGGATTCCGCGCTGAGCAATGTGAATGGCACCTATTGTTCTCGGCACCCAGAGCTCGTGGAGGACTGAAGGAGCAGAGGCGCCACGTCTGGGCATGGTTAGCATTTCACACACACAAAGACTTCAGTGTGACCACACCAGCAGCGTCGTCCTTAAGGGACACGTGCGGGTATGCTTGACGGAGGAGTCAGGCCTGGGAGTTATGCCCATGAGGAGGAAGGGCGCTCGAGGGTCACATGTCCTCAGTCTGTGAGTGTAGCTACAGCCTCTGCAGACCCTGGAGGCCCCCAGAGAGGGCAGACACTCAGCAGGGTGGACACCCTGCCCAGAGCACTTGGAAGAAGCTCCCAATGGGAACACTTGCTTGAAACCTGACATCCCTGTGATTTGCTGGGTCAAGTGACCTGTGAGTCGCTCTATCACGTGATCTCCCTGAGCTTCACTCGACTCTTTAGAAAAATGGAATGATCTGGGAAAAACTTAAAGAACCTTGTTTTTCCACCCCACATATTCCTTCGGGACCCAGTGAGCATGTCCATGCAGGGAATGCCAGACTTGGGCCCTGCTCCTCCCCCCACGCCCACCTCGGCATGGCTGTGACAGTCTTCAGGAAACACATGCTAGCAGCTTGATAGGAGCTGGGTGAGCTGGTTCCTGCCTCCAGGAACCCACCCTGAGATAAAGGTGGGTCAGGAGGGTCTCATTGGGACCTTGAACACACCACGCCCCTCGCTTTCCTCCAAGTCTACTCACACTCAGCTGTGCCAAAGGTCTCAGCAAGATGGTGGCACACTACACTCCAAACCCAACCTGCAGCACCACCATTTGTCAGCTATTTCTCCAAAAAGTTGGAAACTGGAGATGGGGCCCAACAGGAGAGAGGCCAAGGGCTGGGGTGGTCCTGGTTCCCATCTCAGTTTCTACCCTGGTGGGAGACTGGATTGCTCGCCCTGCTGCAGAAGGGGCAGCACCTGAAGGCTCAGCTTCCCAGGTGAGCGCTTTGCACACCCTTTTAGCGATTTCATAACATTTCTGCTACCTGCAAAAGCTACCCCCCGCAAAAGTTGAGAGCATATGAACCCCACACATATATTCACATGCATGAGTGCTCCTGTGGGAGGGCAATTCAGGGAAGGGGAGGGTGGAGAACAAATGTCACCCAGGGTTACGGAGCAAGCACTGATATGTAGGGGCCATGGCAGGAGCAGAAGGGAGGGCTGGGCTGTGCAGGGGGCGCCTGGAGTGGTGTTGTGGGTGAGAAGGGAAACTGGCCCGTGGCAGCCACTGCCCCACATACACACACAAGACCCCCCGCTGGTGGTGGCTGCCAGTCACTGTGCCTGCTGCCTGTCCAGTCCCTCAGGGGTGTCCCCGCCATGCCCCACCCCACCAAGCCTCAGAGCCCGGGGCTGTGCTTATGCCCATTCTCCAGTCAGAGGACTAAGGCTCCCGGAAGCCACACAAAGAACATCTGAGACAATGAACAAGACGCAGTTATCAGGGCCCAGGTCTGCACCTTTTCCTGAGGTCAAAGAGGCAGACTCACCTATACACCTTGTGTGAAAACACAAAAGTGGGTATGTGAACCCCAGCAGGTGTGGCATATGTACCTGCACATGGCATGTGCACCTGTGTGTGATGGGTGTGCACCTGTGTGTGATGGGTGTGTGGTGGCTGCGCAGGTGTGTGCAGTCAGTGTGCACAGGTGTGAGCATATGGTGTGAAAGGACAAGAGCTGTGATCACCTGCTGTGTCACACTTGGCAAACACCAAATATCACAGTCAGCATATTCAGAGTGGCCATGTCTGTCAGTTCCCACAAGAACACCCAGCGAATCACCTGAGGGAATGATCCAGCAACTGTGGGGGGCAGGACCAGGGTGGGCCTGGGGCCAGGCCTCCTCACCAGGCCCTGATACATTATGGCCCATCTTCCAATGTGCCCTGAGGTGGGCACAGCCCCCCTTCTCACTGAGGACCTGGAAAGAACTGAGTGAGCAGCCCAAGGTTGTCAAGCAGGTGGGATTGGGCAGAGCCAGCCCCGCATGTCAGACCCCTCCCAGCTGGGAAAACCCCAGTATGTCACCACTCCATCTCCAGCCTGTGTGGGTCCTGTCTTGAGCTCAGTGCCTAGCAGGCACCAAGCACTCCACAAATGGGGAAGAGTGTGAGTCAACGGGAAACACAGCTACCAATGCAGGCAGAGGCCTCAGGACAGAGGTTAGAACCAGCCCCCACTCCAGCCCTTGCTGCCCTCTCCAGGCCTACCTGATCCCTGGGGGGCAGCACTAGACAGGATCCACTTGACCAGGCAGCACCGCATCAGGGCTTGGCGGGTGAGCCGTGGCCTCTGCCACTTGACGCCCTCCTTCTTGCTGAGTGGGGTGCGCCCAGGGTCCCCCAGGAGGCTGCCATCTGACACCTTCATCACCTCCTGCAGCAAAAACAGGCAGAGCATCCTTGAGTCTTGATTTACAAGGGACATTCAAAGTGTCCCCAGGCTGCCCCTACCTCCCAATCAATGGCATCCGCACCCCCATCCAGGGGCTCTTCTTCCAGGGATGCATTCCAGGTAACTCCAGTGCCAGCTGGAGAATTCCCTGGACTCTGTTGCCCCATTATGTGTACCCCCTGCCCATATCTCACCAGAATGTTCCCTCCAAGAAGCCTTGGTCACTTCATGGCCAGGTCACTTCATAGGCAGCCACAGTGTTTCAGGTGGGGCGTGAGCTGGGAGTGGTGTTCAAGGCTCTGTGCACCTCGTGCAGCCCACATACCCTCCCCTCCAGTCAGACCAACCTGCTCTGTGAACACAGCTCCTTTCCACAGTTCTGTGCTTTTTGCCCAGGCCCCCCTGCTTGGCCCAGTGAGCCCTACTCATACTTTAAGATCCAGACAGCAAGCCACCTCTCCCAGGAAGTCTCCCCAGCTTTCTAAGGCTGAGGGAGTTAGGCCTGCCCCAGTGTCCATAGTTCCTCATCAGCACAGGTTATGGGGTGATAACTTGTTGAAGGAGCCCCTGGCTGGAGGCAGGGCCTCTGGGTTTCCAGAGGCACATGAGGGGGTCCCTGGAAGGAAGGAGGTGGGGGTCCAGACTCACTCAGAGCATGCACAGGCCTAGTTGTCATAGCTAGACAGTTCCTTGGCGATCACAGTCCAAACCCTTCCCCTGACTGAAGCCCAGAGTGGGATCAAGACAACGGGCTCACACAGCAAAGTCAGACTTCCTCACTTCTCTTCACTACCTGGATCTTTCTTTACCTGACTGAACGAAAAACTGGAAGGCCTCCCCAGAATGGGGCACATGGAGCCCATTAAGAGAAACTGGAACGTGAGTGCCAGTCAGTGTGGATCAGGAAAGGCACGCCTGGGGTCACAGCAGAGTCCACAGAGCAGTGAGATTTGTTTTCCTAGGACAATATTTTGAGAACCCCCATCCTGGCTCCAAAGCTACCGTGTGTCCTCAGCACCCACACTGGTGGCAGGGAGGCCCGGGGAGGCTCATGTGTGTCAAGCTGCACAGCCTCAGTGTCCCTCTGGGCCACTTCCAGGTCTAGTTTGCTACCTTTGTGTCATCCCCTCCTTAGGGGAGCCCCACATATCTTCCCTTCCAGGGACTATCCATGCTGCAGTTCCTGAGTTCTAGTCGTGGGGAGAAGCAACACCCCCATGTGGGTGCCACTTTGAGTTGCCCTGGCACCTGGCTAACCACTGGGGTGGCTGATTGATGGTGTCTTTCCAGCGTTGTGGGAGTCGCGTGTACTACATTTGCACAGTGCTGGTTATTCCAAGTAAATAACAGACAGATGTGCCATCGGGCAAGTACTGCAGATGCAGAAACCCAAAGCAGCCTCTGCATTGGTCAGGTTTGAGGAGTAGTGACTGACCAGGCTGCTTTACACTGGAATCGAATCAGTATCAGGGAGCCCAGGCCCCACAACCCAGGGGGAAGGACAGAAAGCCAGATTTGGAAAATGCCAGCATGAAGAGCAGGTAGCTGGACAGCCAGACCTCAGACAGTCACCCCAGAGAAGAGGCCAGGGAGGGCCTTCAGCTACTGCTGAGTGACCAGACCCTGCTGCTGGTGCTGCCATCCCAGGGGCACAGTCTGTGACCCTTGCTTTCCCTCTGTTGTGCGCCTGCTGCACTTGGAACCTGGAGGCTGCAGCTGGAGCCATCTCAGTTGAATCACTGGTTCAAGATGAGGAGTGCAGGACTCCCACTGTCCCAGCCATGGCCACAGGCTCAATCCCCAGCCACGTGGGGAGTCGAGGAAATTAGCATCTGGCCTTTTAGACTCTCTACAAACCTGGGGAAGAAGAAAAACCCTCCCTAAATGTGGTGATTGTGGAATGCCCAGGCAAGGGGTAACTGGTCTGTGCACCGTGCAGGCTCCAGCTACATGGGAGGGCCCCCCGGTGCTGAGTTGGCTCACAGCCCCATAAGGCTGGCTCACATTGGCACAGCTGGCCTCCTGCTTAATTTTTGGTGAATTGACCACCTAGGCAGGGAGATATCCAAACCCCTTATCCTGTCTTTTGAAGCCATCACCAGGCAGGTTCCAGCAGCCAGCTCCCTCTCTCAAAGTCACCACCCCAAACCATCTCCCTAACACACCCTCAGCAACAGCCCCCACATTTCTCTCTGCTCCTAGGACCACCTGGGAAGCGATGGGGTCAGCTATGCCACTCACCATTCCCATGGAGCAGAAAGCATCTCTCTGCCGGAGATGCTGAGGAAGGACCCTACACACATACACTCACATGCATACACACATAGTACACATGTATACACATGCACATACACACACAGGTCCTGCTTACCCAGCTTCATTACTAACCATTTTATTCAGGGGAGAAATGGCCTTGCTGAATAGTCTATTTCTGTCCAAAATGGGATGGGGCAGTCCAGCAGCTGGTGCTTCATTGTTTCGAGTGCTTTGATGAAGGTTCTGTTTGTGGGGTTGGTGGAGAAGGTCAGAAGGGGAAACTGAGTGGGGCCCCAGAGTTTCTGGCAGGATTTCTTGGGGACTTCCTGCCTATCAGAGCATTATTGGCACTGACTAGCAGGTTGCCCACATGGAGCCCATGGCTAGTCACGGGATTCTGTCTTGCAGCCCAAGCTGGACTGATGTGACAAGACCCAGCACTGACCCCGGTGCCTCCTGGGAAGGCTGAGAGGGCCCACGGGCAGGCTGAAATCTCCTTTCACACATGTCTATTCTGGGCAGCATGTCATCTCGTTGCCATGACAACTCTATGAGGTAACCCCACCCCCATTTTAAAGAGGAGCCCCACTAGGGACAGCCTGTGACTGTCTCCTGTGAAGTGGGTGGGGGTCCTGACAGTGAGGAAAGGAGGAACCCACAAATACTGAGCCCAGGCATGGCCATGCAGATGTCAGGAGGGGCTGAGCCCATGGACTAGGTCCATCAGACACAAGGAGGGGGGCGGAGTGACCGATGGTCCTCCTCATGAATATTTGACACTTGTCTGTCTGGAAGAGGGTCTGAGTGGATTGTCAGGGAAAGTTAAATGGCTGCTTCAGGCACCCCCTCTTGAGTTGGGAGGCACTGGGCACCCAAAGGAGGGAGGCCTCAGGAGTGAACATCACTCCTCTCACCCCTGGTGACTTTGTGCTGCAGGTGGGAGAGTCCAGGAGAGTTGGGTGGTTAGGAGACTCCCACAGAAATGAAATCCCTTCCGCCATGATTCTACCCGCTGTGATTTTCTGCAGCATTTCAAATATTCCCCGGGACCTGGTGCAGCCTGCTGAGCCCACTCAGACAGCCTGCCCGATCTCACCTCACTGTGCTCTTTATTCGGCCCAGAGTATCCCCTTCGCTTTCCTGCTACCTCCACCTCACACTCCCCTCCTCTACCTGCACACTTCTCTCTCTGAACATTCAAGATAAACTCTTTTTCAGCCAGGCCTTATTCAGGTCAAGTCCCCTAACTAGCCAGGTGGCCCTCCCCAGGCATGTTCCATCTCAGCACCTCTCAGCATGTATTGCTTATCCTTATCCTGTTTGTTTTCTGGTGCATTTTCCATGTCCTCCACCCCCCAGAATGTCAGCTCTGAGGTTGATCCTGGCCTTTTGCGTAAACTACTCTCTCCCATGGCAGAGCCTGGCATCCACACTCATTCACGAAACTCAACAGCAAAAGAACAAAGCATCCAATTGGAAACTGGGCAAAAGACATGCACAGACATTTCACCAAAGAGGACATACAGATGGCAGATAAGCACACAAAAAGATGTTCAACTTCATTAGTCATCATGGAAATGCAAATTGTATCACAACTAGATATCACTTCTACCTATCCGAATGGATACATTTTTTTAAAAAGTGGCAGCACCAAATGCTGGCAATAATGCAGTGAACCTACATCACTCATACGTTGTGAATGGGAGTGTAAAATGCTTTAGCCACTCTGAAAACAGTTTGACAGCTTCTTTAAAAACTAGGCAGGGCGTCCCCAGTGGCGCAGTGGTTGAGCGCTGGGTTGCGAAGCTGCCCGCAGCCTCTGCAGCGCCGGTTCGATCCCTGGCTGTTCCCTGGCCACCGGAGGAGGGTCCCACATGGCGTGCAGACCTCTCCTGCCGCCCGCTGCTCCCCTCAGCAGTGTACTTCGGTCCTTCTGCCTGCTCTGCTTCCCGCTCTGGCTCTGGTGAATTCTCTCACCCTCCTGTGCCTCTGACTGTACCCCAGTGCACGTATAAATAAATAAAAATAAATCTTTAAAAAAAATAAATAAAAACTAGGCATATGACTACCACGTAACCAGCTCTCCCCCACTCTTGAGCATTTCTCCCAGTTAGCAAAAACCAGTACAAGAGTGTTCACAGCAGGGATGAGGGGAGATGCAGGGGTGGAGGATGAGTTCCTTACATGATTGCACATATTAAAAAAGGATAGTACCTGTAGCTATCTGTGAAATAAATGCCAGCTTCTAAAAAATTCTCCCAGTAACTTTATTTGTAGTACCCCCAAACTAGAAGTGCCCCAGATACCCAGTTCTTAGTGGATGGTTCAACAAACTGCTATATCCATGTGATGGGTTATTAGGCAGCCATCAGAAGGAAGGAGCCATTGCTGTGCATGTAAGAGGGACGAAGCTGCAGAGAACTAGGCTGAATGCAAAAGGTCAACCCAAAAGGTCACGTAGTAGTTAATTCTACTTCTGTAACATCTTACACGGATAACATTTTAGAAATGGGACAGATCAGTAGGCCAGAGGGTAAGGATGGAGCGAGGGGATGTGGCTACAAAAGGGCAACTCCAGGGATCTTTGTGGTGATGGAGCTATTCTGTCTCTTGACTGTCCTCATGGATGCTCAAACCTACACATAATAAAACTGCACCACATTAAACACACACATGCTCACACACACACACACACACACACACACACATATACAAGGGCACATAAGGCTGGGGAAATCCGAACAAGGCTATTGGGGTATATCACTGTCAATATACCAGTTATGATTTGTACAGTCACATGTCATTTAAAGATGGGATGCCGAGCCTCCCTGGTGGCGCAAGGGGTTAAGCACAGTGCTGTGAAGTTTTCCGCAGCCTCTGCAGCACGAGTTTGATCCCTAGCTGGCCGGGGAGCTTCCCACATGGCGCAGCAGACCTCTCCTGTCTCGCCCGCTGCTCCCCTCAGCAGTGTATTTCGGTCAGTCTGCCTGTTCTGTTCCCCACTCTTTCTCTGGTGGAACCTCTCACCCCCCACACCTCTGGCCTATACCCCAGCTCTTGTATACATAAATAAGTCTAAAAAAAAAATAAAGATGGGATACTTTCTGAGAAATGCACTGTTGATAATTTCCTTTTTGTGGGATGTGCATAGAGTCATTACACAGAGCTTGCTGGTAGAGCCCACAACATGTTAGCCTGGATGGTATGGCCTGTTGGGCCTGTTGTTGGACACGGGTCCCTAGGTGACTGAAGCATCATTCAGTGATGCATAATCGTGTTATTGATTTACAAGATACTACTGTTGGGGAATTTGAGTAAAGGATATGTATGGCCTCTCTGTTTTATTTCTTACAATTGCATGTGAATCTCCAAATATCTCGATAAAGTTTCAATCAAAAAAATACTCCCATACACACAAGAGTATTGAAGAAGTATAAACACACACAAAGCCCTCAGTTAATATTCACAAATGACCAGGTAAAAGACCCCTGGGGCCCTCCATAATTCACCTAAAGCCTCTTCCCTCCCACTCCTGCTTAAAGCCAGCGTTATTTAATGGAGGAAGGAGCTGGAAGTCCTCACAGACCTCCTGGGATAGCCAGGACAGAGTGGCAGAGAACACTGAAGTCGGAGCACCTGCGCCCTGGGCTCATATCAAGTCCCCAGTGCACAGATGACGTGTGAGCCTCCTCAGAAGTGACCCAAGGTGGGCACTGGGGACTGGCAGCCTCTGGGTTCACAAGGTCCCCTGGGCTGAGCGCAGGTGGTCAGGGTCATGCCTTACCACTCACCCCAGAGTGGTGTGGGAAGGCAAGGGCCAGGGGCAGGGCAGCTTCCTTCCCAGATCCCCAACCTGTGGAGACTGGGGAAGGGACAGAAAGGGCATTGAGGACGTGGGGATAAAAGGAGGCTCCTACTCTGCTGGCGGGAACGTAAGCTGGTCCAGCCACTGTGGAAAGCTGTGTGGAGGATCTGAAAAACACTAAAAATGGATCTACTACATGATCCAGTGATTCCATTCCTAGGAATCTACCCCAAGGACACAAAAACACTAACTTGAAAGAAAACCTGCACACCAATATTTATTGCAGCACTATTTACAACAGCCAAAATATGGAAACAACCTAAATACCCCAAGATATGAATTTGGTGAATGGATCAAAATTTTGTGGTATCTATGCACAATGGAATACTACTCAGTGATCAAAAAAGACAGACTCGTGGCATTTATGGCAACATAGATGGAGCTGGAAGGGATTATGCTAAGTGAAATAAGTCAGAAGGAAAAAGATAAATATCAGGTGGTTTTACTTTTATGTGTAATATAGAGAAACAAAAAAAAATGTCAAAAAAAAGAGAAAACTTGCAATTTGGCCATAGATCTGAGGCACACAGCAGAGGAGGGGGAGGGGACAGTCAGCGGAGAGATGAGCACAGGACTGAGGTGATGGATCACGGGTGCTATGGTGGCAGCGGGAGAACTACAGGCATGACACCTGAGGGGAGAAACCAATTACTGTACAAAAATGAACAACAATGTGAGAAAATAAATTTAGAGGGGAAAAAAAAAAAAGAAAGGATACCACGTTGGCAACACACCTGCTCCCTGCCGGGCACTGAGTAGATGTTTGGAGAGCTTGTCTTACTCAATGCTTCCGCCAGCATTTTGAGGTTCCTTAGATGCTCCTCCAAATCACCAACCAAAGCTCAAATCCTAGAAGTGGTCCCTTCTCACACCTGTTATTACCAAGCTCGCCCAGTTCCCTGTGGTGCGTGTTCTCTCTCGCTCCACCGAGTCAAACCAACTTGTTCTACTTCAGGACTGTTCTAATGGGCTTTGGCTGAAGGTCACTGGCTCAGGGAGTCAGGCCGTGCCCTAGGAGATGCTCCTACATCTTACAGATGACTTAGTGTCTGGCTCCCAATAACCAGATAACCCGAAAACAGGGTGTGGCGTCTGTGGTCAGCAAGCTGTTATTTTATTTCATGATATGATGTAGCAACCTGCACTTAGTGACTGCTACCAGCTTTCTGTTTACAATCATGTTTTAAAGATTCCCTTTTAGACTGATTTATTAAAATGATAAATGTGAGTTAATTCAAAGAAAATATAAGCAATAATAGCACAACTTGCAGCAGAAAGGGCAGAGCTGGTGAAGGCAGAGTACAGCTAGGAAACTTGGAGGCTGAGGAGCCACTCAACTCTGCTGGGCTGGCCCTCCCGGGCCTGAGTGGCCCACAGGGGCCACCTGCCACATGTGGCTAGTCCAAACTGAGGTGAGCCTACTGTCCATGTGCCTACTGGCCAGCACACACGTAGTTGCAAATCCTTACTTATGAATGCAAAAAAAATGCATTCTTTTTTAATATTGATTACACCTTGGAATGATAATATTTCCAATATATTATTAAATACCTTCTTATTCATTTTGTTTTACTTTCTTTAATGTGTCTTTCCAAACATTTACAGGGGCATCAGATTTGCA